GAATGAAGCAGTATGAGACGGATCAACAAAATAATATGCAATTAATTTCTCTTAAAATCAATATGAAATCGAGTATCTCATGAATCGCATTGATGTTAAAACAATGGGCTTTTTTTACTGGAAGAGAAACCATACAACGCTCATATGACTTGACTAAGGATATTCGTCGATCATTTTCTGTATAGATCAAATCATTCCCTGCTCCCTCTCTCCACTTCCCGTATTAGAAGCAGCCATCTTAGGGAACATCTCAAAATGTTTGCCGGTCGGCCAGCCGCTCTGCCGTGCGGCCGCTTGGGCGTGCGTGGGGGGGTGGGGGGGGGTGTGGGTGTGGGTGTGGGTGTGGGTGTGGGTGTGGGTGTATGGGTGGGCGTGGATGTGGATGTGGCGCGGGTGTGAGTGTATTAAAGGGTCACACAAATTCAGATCCACACACCGACACATCGATGCGCCTACATCCACACCCAACCCATATCCGCATACACGCACATTCTTCTTTGAATCTCTTTTTGAATGCGGCACTTAAAGACCTGCTAATATCTAAATTGTAGATAAGAAATTTGATAAAAATATAATAACTAACGATACAGTGGGAGGGAAAATAAAAACTCTTCAAACTCATCTAGACAGAAACGAAGTAATCTCAGGTTCACAAAGAACTATATGAAGAAATGTAAACTAGACACTTTGAATATTCTCTTCAATCAATGTTACAAAGATTTCTCTCAAAAGAATCAACGGTCGGGATTATATAGAAACACACTTACCTTGTTTTGAATATGCCTCTGTGCTTGTTCTCGAAACTGTGCACTTCTCACAGCTTTATATACATCTAACGTCCATTATGATTCACGCTGTTTCTCTTTTCTTTTCTTTTTTTGTGTTTCAATAAGCGCTGTTAACTTGTTTACGAGTATACGAAAGTCGTCATAAAGAGAGACAGAGAACGAAAAAAGAAGCCTTGCATTCTCTTTGCTTTTATTATAGAATTCATCTATTGGCGCTCCTTTCAATCCAGGCTAACAATAACAAAAACTGTTACGAAATAATGTACACGGACATTAAAGAGCGACAGATCAATATAGCTTTCAATATACATTGGATTTGAGTGATAAGGTAATGTTAAGTACAAGTACACATGTATACTGGGTGTGGGTGTGAGTTAAGAGAATCCCACACTCACACCCAGCGACGCCCATACCACAAGGGGGAAAAATCGGAATCCTTGAATCCTGAATTCCTTTGGATTCCAAAGATTCCCTGTGATTCTTTCGGATTCCAAGGATTCCCTAGGATTCCTTAGGATTCCGTAAGATTCCGTAGGATTCCATAAGATTCCTTAGGATTCCA